CTTACCGGGCACGGCAACTCCCTTGCCTTCCTTCTTGAAGTTCTTCCTACCCTTGCTTTTCTTGAAACTAGTGGTTTTATTGACCATCAACACTTGATGTTCCTTTTTGATCTCCACCTTCGCTGATTTCAGCATTGAATATACCTCAGGAATGGTTTTCTCCATCCCCTGCATATTGAAATTCATCACAAAGCTCTTGTAGCTAGGTGGGAGCGACTGAAAGATTCTGTCAACGACCGCGTCATCCGGGAGATCAACTCCCAGCTGAGACAAGCGGTTGTGCAACCCAGACATTTTGAGTATGTGCTCGCTGACAGAACTATTCTCCTCCATCTTACAACTATAGAACTTGTTGGAGACTTCATAGCTCTCGACCCGGGCATGAGCTTGGAAAACCATTTTCAGCTCTTGGAACATCTCATATGCTCCGTGCTGCTCAAAACGCTTTTGGAGCCCCGGTTCTAAACTGTAAAGCATGCTGCACTGAACCAGGGAGTAATCATCACTACGCGACTGCCATGCGTTCATAACGTCTTGAGTTGCTGGGAAAACAGGTGCTTCACCTAGCGGTGCTTCAAGGACATATGCTTTCTTGGCAGCTATGAGGATAATCCTCAGGTTACAGACCCAGTCCGTGTAGTTACTGCCATCGTCTTTCAGCTTGGTTTTCTCTAGGAACACGTTGAAGTTGAGGGCAACATTAGCGTGGGCCATTTGATCTACAAGACATATTGCAAAGTTTTAGACTATGTTCATGATAATTAAGTTCATCTAATCAAATTATTTAATGAACTCCCACTCAGATTGACATCCCTCTAGTCATCTAAGTGATACATGATCCGAGTCAACTAGAACGTGTCCGATCATCACGTGAGACGGACTAGTCATCATCGGTGAACATGTTCATGTTGATCGTATCTTCTATACGACTCATGTTCTACCTTTCGATCTTCCATGTTCCGAGGCCATGTCTGTACATGCTAGGCTCGTCAAGTCAACCTAAGTGTATTGCGTGTGTAAATCTGGCTTACACCCGATCATCACGTGGTACTTCGGAACAACGGACCTTAGCAACGGTGCACAGTTAGGGGGGACACTTTCTTGAAATTATTGTGAGGGATCATCTTATTTATGCTACCGTCGTTCTAAGCAAATAAGATGTAAAACATGATAAACATCACATGCAATCAAATAGTGACATGATATGGCCAATATCATTTTGCTCATTTTGATCTCCATCTTCGGGGCGCCATGATCATCATCGTCACCGGCATGACACCATGATCTTCATCATCATGATCTCCATCATCGTGTCTTCATGAAGTTCTCTCGCCAACTATTACTTCTACTACTATGGTTAGCAATAAAGTAAAGTAATTACAAGGCATTTTCAGTGACACGCAGGTCATAAATAATTTAGACAACTCCTATGGCTCCTGTCGGTTGTCATACTCATCGGCATGCAAGTCGTGATTCCTATTACAAGAACATGATCAATCTCATACACCACATATATCATTCATCATATTCTTTTGGCCATATCACATCACATAGCATACCCTGCAAAAACAAGTTAGACGTCCTCTAATTGTTGTTGCATGTTTTTACGTGGCTGCTATGAGTTTCTAGCAAGAACGTTTCTTACCTACGCAAAAACCACAACGTGATATGCCAATTTCTACTTACCCTTCATAAGGACCCTTTTCATCGAATCCGATCCGACTAAAGTGGGAGAGACAGACACCCGCTAGCCACCTTATGCAACTAGTGCATGTCAGTCGGTGGAACCTGTCTCACGTAAGCGTACATGTAAGGTCGGTCTGGGCCGCTTCATCCCACAATGCCGCTGAATCAAGATAAGACTAGTAACGGCAAGTAAATTGACAAAATCAACGCCCACAACAACTTGTGTTCTACTCGTGCATAGAAACTACGCATAGACCTAGCTCATGATGCCACTGTTGGGGATCGTTGCAGAAATTAAAAATTTTCTACACATCACCAAGATCAATCTATGGAGAGACTAGCAACGAGAGAGAGGGGAGTGTATCTTCATACCCTTGAAGATCGCAAAACGGAAGAGTTACAAGAACACAGATGAAGGAGTCGTACTCGCAGCGATTCAGATCGCGGTTGATTCCGATCTAAGCACCGAACAACGGTGCCTCCGCGTTCAACACACGTACAGCCCGGGGACGTCTCCTCCTTCTTGATCCAGCAAGGGGGAAGGAGAAGTTAGGGAAGAACTCCGGCAGCACGACGGCGTGGTGGTGGAGCTCGCAGTTCTCCGGCAGGGCTTCGCCAAGCTCAACGGAGGAGGATGAGGTGTTAGGAGAGGGAGGGCTGCGCCTTGGAAGTGGTGTTGCTACCCTCCCCCACCCCTCTATTTATACGGTGAAGGGGGAAGGGGGCCGGCCCCTCTAGATGAGATCTAGAGGGGGGGGGGCAAGGGGAGGGGGCTTGCCCCCCAAGCCAAGGGGGGCGCCCCCTTTAGGGTCCCCCAACCCTAGGCGCATGGGCCCTAGGGGGTGGCACCCAGCCCACTTAGGGGCTGGTTCCCTTCCACATACATCCCATAGGGCCCTCCGGGGCAGGTGGACCCCCGGAACCCCTTCGGTGGTCTCGGTATAATACTGATAAACCTCCGAACACTTCCGGTGACCGTATGATGACTTCCCATATATAAATCTTCACCTCTGGACCATTCCATAACTCCTCGTGACGTCCGAGACTCCGAACAACATTCGGTAACTGCATACTATTTCCCATAACAACTATAGCGTCACCGAACCTTAAGTGTGCAGACCCTACGGGTTCGGAAATCATGCAGACATGACCGAGACATCTCTCTGGCCAATAACCAACAGCGAGATCTGGATACCCATGTTGGCTCCCACATGTTCCACGATGATCTCATCGGATGAACCACGATGTCGGGGATTCGATCAATCCCGTATTCAATTCCCTTTGTCTACCGGTATGATACTTGCCTGAGATTCGATCGTCGGTATCCCTATACCTTGTTCAATCTCGTTACCGGCAAGTCTCTTTACTCGTTCCGTAACACATCATCCCGTGATCAACTTCTTGATCACATTGAGCTCATTTTGATGATGTCTTACCGAGTGGGCCCAGAGATACCTCTCCGTCACACGAAGTAACAAATCCCAGTCTCGATTCGTGCCAACTCAACAGACACTTTCGGAGATACCCGTAGTGTGCCTTTATAGCCACCTAGTTACGTTGTGACGTTTGGCACACCGAAAGCATTCCTACGGTATCCGGGAGTTGCACAATCTCATGGTCTAAGGAAATGATACTTGACATTAGAAAAGCTTTAGCAGACGAACTACACGATCTTGTGCTATGCTTAGGATTGGGTCTTGTCCATCACATCATTCTCCCAATGATGTGATCCCGTTATCAACAACATCCAATGTTCATGGTCAGGAAACCGTAACCATCTATTGATCAACGAGTTAGTCAACTAGAGGCTCACTAGGGACATGTTATGGTCTATGTATTCACACATGTATTACGATTTCCGGATAACACAATTATAGCATGAACAATAGAAAATTATCATGAACAAGGAAATATAATAATAACCATTTTATTATTGCCTTTAGGGCATATTTCCAACAGAAGGCAACAACCCACTGGTGAACTTTACTGTCAACGGCCACAACTACGACAAATGATACTACCTGGGTGACGGTATCTATCCTCAGTGGACCACTATTGTCAAGATAATACCCAACCCGGTCGGAGAGAAGAGGAAAAGATTTGCCCAAGAGCAAGAGAGTGCTAGAAAGGATGTCGAGCGTGCCTTTGGTATTTTGCAATCTCGATGGCGTTCGGTATCCTAGTAATACTTGAAGCACGCAGAAACTGTGGGAGGCGATGACTGCTTGTGTGATCATGCATAATATGATCGTAGAAGACAAGCGACCGGAACGTCTGTACGATCAAGGGTTTTAGTTTCAGGGTGAGAATGTTGTGCCTGAGCATGGAGGAGCGGCAATATTTGAACAGTTCATCCAATTTCATCATGACATGCGTGATTGGAAAACTCACGTGCAACTGCAAAATGATTTGGTTGAGTATATGTGGGCTCATATTGGCAACCAATAGATGTATCTTCTTTTATTCGTTTGCAAAACTATGTGAAACATTTTTATTTGTATTCGGCTTGTAAAACTGTACTATTTTATTCAGTTTAAACTATGTTATTTGACAATATGTTTGAATGCAATTCATCAATGTAAAATAGGGCGGCCAGCCGGCCAAGCCGGCACATATGGGTCGGCGCGTTGCCGACCTATATCTAAAACAGGGCGGACGTCGGGCGGGCGATCGACCTAAACGGACAAAAAATGAACAAAATCACCCTTTGTTTGGGTCTCCTCATTGAAGTTGCTTTTATAGTCGTTGCTATGTGGTCTACAAACATGAATGTAAATTTTCTACATCTTGTGTTCTTTATACTGCGCTGATATTTGATGAATATAGATGGAAAGTTTTTCTCCTTTTTTTTTAATGTTGACATGTACGCAATCATCATCGATCATGCTCAGCTTCAGCTTGCTGCTCGGGCGCAGGTCCCACGTCGTTCCGGCAGAACGAAGATACAGCAAAAGCAGCTGCGGCATTCCGCCACCTCGCAGTTCCCCACCCGACCTTCCCACCAACCAACCAGCTCTTCCAGCCTCCGCAGGCCACCGCTCCGCCCCCCTTCCGCTGCAGTTGCACCGTAGCCGGTCCGTCGCCGTCAAGCGACCACGCCAATCACAAACCGTGATCGCCACCCACCCTCCGGCCTCCGCGGGCGGGACCCGCCGACCAATGGGCACCCCCTGCCCCAACCTCACCGCTCTCGCGATTCGCCGCAGCGGCGGCCGCCTGTTCGAGCGGTAGGGATTTCCCTCGTCGTCGTGGGCGCGGGAGACCTGGTGTCGCTGGCGCGAGGCGAGGGGAGGCGAGGCCGCGAGGGGGCAGCGATGATGTTCGGGTCGGGGATGAATCTCCTCAGCGCGGCGCTCGGCTTCGGCATGACCGCCGCCTTCGTCGCGTTCGTCTGCGCGCGGTTCATCTGCTGCCGCGCCCGGGACGCGGACGATGGCGCCCCATCGCCGGTGGACTTTGACGTTGACTTCCCAGCAGATCTCGAACGCCCGGTGCGTGTCATACCCTCCTACTATGGCTCCTCTGCCTCCACAACGATCGATATTCTGCTGCTATGAACTACGTATTTGCTAGTGCCACAGCGCGTACATAACTGAAGTGTCTATGTTTTGTTTTTATAATTACTGAAAATAGGAAGATTCGATACTCAATTTCTTTGTTCGCGGGCACATGAGCAGTGCCTTTTATTTTTGGCTATTACTGAAGTGTATATGTTTTGTTTTTATATAGTTATTAGTGATGAAAATAGGAAGATTCTAGGAGTACTATTTTATATCTGTGTTCATGGGCACATGGGAGTGCCTTTCCTGTTCAAGCCAAAAAAAAATTGCTAATTAGTCCTTTTACTAAATTTGTACTTTTTGGCTATTGCACTGATACCAAGTCTTAAATATTAGTATATCTGATAATCGACCACTTTAATAGATATTAGAAAATAGAGATTCAAAAGCTTTAGCTTATATGTATTTCGCTAACTTTGGTCTTCTCCCATTTTAGACTGGTATTTGTGTGCCTCTGTTTTAGTGATAGGCCATGAGCTCTAGTTAGATTCTTAGGGTTACACTTTCCCCAATAATTGTCTCTTGATCGCATACCTTACAGTATCTCTGTATCAGCTTTCAATTAGTCTGTGTATAACTACAAGCCTGCAACGTAGCAATATTCCTTGGTCCAAGTTCAAATAACAGTTAAATCATCCTTAGTCCCTACACATTTAAAGAAGTAAATAGGTTTAAATGACTAGGCGATGAGCTCTAGTTAGATTCATGAGGTTACATTTTACCCCAATAATAGTTGCTCAATACGTAGCTTGTATCTTTGTTTCTGCTTCAAGTTAGTCTGTGTATGACTAGAAGCCTGCAACTTAACAATATTCCCTGGTCCAAATATAAATAACAGTTACATGATCCTTATTCCTTGCACATTTTAAGAAGGAAGAAGATATCACATTCTAATTCACAGTCTAAAACCAATGCGTTTTGTAGTCCCACAAGGAAATACTAATAAGCTAGAAACTGAAACACCAAAGGGTGGGAGCACTAAAGGAACTACAGAAATCCCAGATTTTGTATGATGTCTTTAAGCTATAATCTATTGGATAATTTGCTAGCTTGGATACAAATTCAACAATGCTCTTTGATGATACCCGTCAGTTCAGCCTCGTTTCTTTAGGGTTAAAATTTTGGGCATCTCCCTTTTTGAATCCTATATACCTAAATAGTTCCCCACTAACTCAATTTTCTTAACATGCAACTATGCCAACTCACCATGCCACCATGCACGCCCCACTAAATTTAGTTCTCTCAACATGCAACTATGCCAACTCACCCTGACACTATGCATGGGAAAAGACCCACCTTAACATGTAGCTTGCATGCTACTCATATTCAATAAATATTTTACAACTATATAATGATCAAACATAATAAATTATATGTCCTTTAGTTTCGATTCTCATATCACCAATCCAAATACTAAAGTTTTATACTGCCAATTTTCGTAGAAATAGCTGCATCCAATTCCCGCAGCAATGCGCGGGGTATCGTCTCTAGTAAACTTGATAACTAAGTGCACATGGAGTATTCTCTGTTCCTTGGTATAGAATTTTATTTTCGCAAATGTCAAGTGAACAAACATTTCTTATGAAGTTGCTCTTCCCAGTTGTACAAGGTGTCTCCTTTTGAAAGTTAATGTAGTGATCGCTGTTATGTTTCGCGCCTCTGGGCTAGGGCCGGCGCCAACGCGATCAGTAACATAATCCCGGAGAACTAGGGTAGGATGTAGAGGGGATGAGCAACCCCATCTGTTTGCTCGGCGGCCACTTCCATGCCTTCCTTGTGTAGATGGCATAGTGCGTTGTCACAACCTCATCTGTACAACTCCCCTTCTATCAATGGAAAGATACGCATCCTTAGCGTATTCGCGAAAAAAGATAGCTGTTATGTTTATAGTTATGTACGCATAGTTGACTACCTTTTTTTTTCCTTTACTGTTACATCTAAAAGTGTTACTTGTTAGTGTATGTTCAACAAATACTTTTTTAATTCACATGCAAGTTTGAACAATCAAGGCGATGTAGTCAATGCAGATGTCATATCACTATCTTTCGTACTTAAGTTAGTGCCGTACTTTTTCAGGTAGAGGATGCTAATTGTGGGTTGGAACCTTTGGTTATTGCTGCAATTCCTATTATGAAGTACTCTGAGGCTTTATATTCAAAGGATGATGCCCAGTAAGTGCAACTATCTGTATTAACCGACAATTACCCAACTTTACTGTTTTCTGCTGTAATGTATATAATTTCATCCACCTCTGAAATGTCTGGCCACTGGGATTCATGGGAATATCCAAACAGTGGGCCAAGTAGCTTGTCACATGGAAATTGGTAGACCCTGTTGCAGTATCACCTTATTGTAAATACGGGTATCCAGAATAGTTTCTAAACAGTTATGTGCGAGTTATTGAAACCACATTACTGCTGATATGCATATGCTGAGACTCTTAGAAAGTCACAAGAGTCTTTTCTTTTCTTTGTTGTCATATAGTCCCTAGCCCCATGGTTATCAATTCAATATACCAGTTCCTATGGCCCCCCTCCCCTCCCCGAGCATTTTGAAGCTTACCTGGTAATTTCATTAACCAAAGCATGAGAAAGTATCTGCAAAATGTGTATGCATTTCTGGGGGTGCAGGTCAAAGATCTGCTATGAAGGACATGTTTTATGCTGAAAGAATACTTCCATAGCTGAGTAACAAATGTACAAAATAATTTGAAATCTTGCTGTTAGCTAGAGCAAGTTCATAATGCCAGTTTGTTTTTGCTTAGTCCTTCGAGGAAGGAATGTGTTTTCCTGCCCAGGGGTTCCCACGCCTTCTGTTTGCAAAATAAATAATGTCTTGTTAAAAAAAATACCAATCATGTGTGATCCACAAAACTTTGTTTCTGTGTAAACCTGCAGACTTTTAATATCAAAATTGTCCATACTGTGCGGTACGAAAAATAGTAGTGAACCATCCACTGTATTAATCAGTGCAAGTGAAGTGTCTTTTATCGTATTTGGTTCTTGATACCAGAAATGAATTTGATATTGAAATGTTGCAAGTCTACATAACTTTATTGTGTACTACACTACACACATGGTTAATTTTTATTTGAATTACAAGTACCAGCGCTAACACACCCGCCCCGCTTAAACCACCATACCTATGCACACACACGCCCCATTGTTTACCACTGAACAGGTATTGCTGTGAAGATATGACACACGAACTCTCGATCCAAGGACTGAACCCGGCTGGCAGGCTGCAGCACGTCAATCCTAACCAACGAGACATGGCTTATTTCACACATAATTGAGAAAAACTGCGGTTTTTAAAATCTAAAGTGTTCATTGTGAGGCATTGGAATACTGAGGTATTAGATTACAGCAATTTTCCAAACCTAAGTTTTGATACAGTGCATCATGCACTTTCTGTAAATGGGCGTGCAGGAACTCTGGGGAGCAATGAAATTGTTGAACTGTTAAGGCCATGTTGGGGTTTGCGTTTCTGCTCCATTTCTCGCCGGTTTAGAATACACACCCCGTCCCGTCGTTTTCGTTCTAGGCAAAAAACAAGTGTTGACCAGTAATTTACACCTGTAAAATAAATACAAGTGTATAAATTTACACCCATTCCAAGTGGGGCCTAAGAAGTTTTTACACAAGCAAGTCTATTGCCCTCCAAACTTGTTTGCATAGACTCAACCAAGCTCAAACTCAGCCCAATGTTTAGAAGCTCACAAGACATGAGTTCTTTCTTAACAGTTCTTCTCTTTATTCAACTTATTGAACCTAGGGTGTTGTTCAACTATGCCCTTGTTTGATCGGTTGTTTTGCTTTGACAGGTGCTCCATATGTCTAGGTGAATACACTGAGAAAGAGCTTCTAAGAATCATTCCGACATGTCAACATAACTTTCACCGTACCTGCTTAGACTTATGGTTGCAGAAGCAGACTACTTGCCCAATATGCCGGGTCTCGTTGAAAGAGTTGCCTAGCGGCAAAGCTGCCATAGCACCTTCATGTAGCAATCCTCAAGTGCGCCCCCGCACTGAGAACTCTGTTAATCCAGCACCTGACTGGCTCCTCCCTGTTCATCATTCTCACAGAGGTCAACAGAATAGTTCAGACACACAAGCATCAGTAGAAGTGGTTATTGAGATACGCCAATAAGCACATCATGAGATTGCTATGAAAGAGAACAAAGCGGGAATATGTAATAGGTTTCCTGCCTCGCTGCATTGTTGCAGCATCCTAATTGGATCGACATTGTATGCAATCTCGTCGCAGGTAATGTGTCAACATTTGTTGTACATTTCGCATTGTAGGTAAGCATATTGTGTTATGGCACATAAACACTTTCAATGTTCTTTTCTAGTGCTCTGTATATCATAAAAATGGTAAAGAAATATTGGATGTTAGGTAAATTCCTGAACTTCTGAAGCTTTGCAGTTCGTCTGGCAGCTTTGCAATAATCTGCAGAGGTGCAGTTCCCCTTTCATTAAGCCTGTGGTAGCAAGTAGGCAGACTTAGGTGGCAGATCCCATATTTCACTTTGAGTTTGCTAAACTTTGGATCTTCCACTGGATGTAGCTTTTACATTTACAAAAAAAAATGTCTGAATTGCCCTGGTTTGATCGGTTGGTGTGGGAGGTTTAGGTCTACGAATTACCGTCCATTTTGGGTAGCAGAAAAAGCCCGTGAAACCTTCTCAAGTAATAATGCTGGCACAAGAAGCACCCACCATGTAACAAAAACAATTCGGATGTGTATTTGATATGCACATAGATTATGGAAAACAAGATAAACTATGTTATAAGAAAGCAATGTTCTAGTGAAAATAGGAAACCGTTGATCACCTTGCACCAAGCATAAACCATGCTCATAGACACGATGTCTCGATGTTGGTGAGACGCAAATTGGTAATGATAAAAAAAGGATGCACTTTTCTATGGTGGAAATGTGTACGCCGAAGTTAATGGGTTTGGAGATTTCCATTGCTTCAATTTGGTGATGTTAGCTATGTAAGTTCGGTCTGTAATGACTTTGATTTTGTTTGATCGAGGCTTAGCATAACCACTATGTCGTATACATGTGTGTTGGATATGTTAATTTTCTAAATAATTTAATCCATAAATAAATCATGATAATAGTGCTTACTATCACACTGATAGCTAATCATGTGAGCAAGTAGACACAGAACATGTAAATCTATGACAATAGTATGTACGCCTATCATATGAACAAATAAAGACATCCTACTCTCATGCAGGAAATGTCAGTGCGGCGGCGGCAGAGGCAGAACCAACCTTCTTGTTCGTGGTGTCCGTGTTGTCATCCATGCCGCCAGTGAAGAGGTTAAGGAAGTAGTCGAGTAGTGGGTGTAACCGAACAATAACAAGCAGTTGCATCGAGACGTTCTCAAATACCTTATGGCCCCTTCTCCCGGCGCATGCTCAGAGCATCTCCAATAGTTTATCTATATGGATGTCTATACTCGTTTTTCACGATATGAGCCCAAAACAAGCGTTCAACAGCTTGTCTATATAGTCGTCCAAATATACACATCCTCTAAATCGACCTCGACAATGTTCACGCATGGACATTGTGAAGGCATCGTCTAAATTCAGCTGTAGTCCTGATTTCTTCCTCTCCTCAGTGACGGTCCACCTGTCATGGTCCCCGTATATAGACGTTCTAATGCAAAACTGGACGTGTATATAAAGGAATCTTTTTAGACCATTGTCTATATGAATATATAGACATCCAAATATACACATGCTATTAAAGATGCTCTCATAAAAGATGGCCTACTCTCCGGACAACCGTGCACATGGTCGTGGGAGGGAGTAAGCCAGAAGCAACACCAGCTTGTGCTCGAGAAGGTTGAGCAGATGCGATTTGTTCCGGTGATGGCTAGGCCACAACCGAGTCTGTAATAACTCATGATCCGAACGGCTCAGATACGATGCTCGTGACATGTCCATAGTTGATCATAATTAATTACCAATTAGTTATTCATTTCAACTGGAAAAACATAAACCGCACATGCCATATAGGTCTCAGTTTGGCTGTTCACGAAAAAGGAAGTCTTGGACGGGCAAGCGTGGTGAGGCGGGTGGTGAAGGAGAAGCACAAATGTGTCACTTATCTTCATGCTTCAATAGGACGTGGAACATAATCGCTTATATGTTGGTCTTAACTCTTCTCCACTTTTAGGGTGATACTAAATTTTGGACAACGCTAACGTCCACACGTGTGGTGGGAGCTAAACCCGCTCACACTCCCTATAACACACAGACTACGTCATGTCACCGCATGCATGCATGTGAAAGTCTTTTTGGATTTTCTGTTTTTAAAATGTTTTATCTCTTAAATGAAAAATTCGATTGAAGATCCGTTTTCATCATTAAATCCCTCGCGACGAGATCTTCGAAACTAGATCTCATATCAATATATTTCGACAAATTTTTTTGGTTAAAATTTGCCTTGTCTATTGCACATGAATTGCCATGATGTTTACACTGAAGTTGCCCTGATATGTTTCAGCTATTTTCTTCTACATTTAAAAGTAAATTTTGACATATTATAAAACGTGAAATTAAGAAACTAGACTTACCATGCACCATAAACTAAAATTGCCATGATACATGCACTTAAAATTGCCATGGTTCATACAAAAAAATATTTTCATGGTGAAAGTACTGAAATTGCCATTATCAAAAAATTAAAATTGACATGATCTACAAACTAAAATTGCAACATGGCAACTTTAGTTTAAGCACTATGGCAACTACAGTGTAAACATCATGACAACTTTTGGGCAAAAAAAAATTCGTTGAAACATATCAACATGGGGTATAGTTTTGAAGATCTCGTCGAGACGGATTTAATGGTGAAAACGGATTTTTAATTCGCTTTTCTAATTAGGAGATGAAACATTTTTAAGCCAAAAATCAAAAAGATTTCTGCTGATGTCATTTGTTCATATGTGACAAAATGAGTGATGATGGAGGCGTGTGGGCGATGTGCAAACACCCGCACGTGTGTGCGTTAGTTTTTCCGTAAATTTTTCACCATGTCATGAAACGCCACATGTGCCTTTGAGATTTTCGAGGAATTATCTGTATATGGGCCTAAAGCCCATCTATAATTCAATAATCCCCACCTTATGTCGAAGGCACATTGTGTTTTCCTTCGTTTTAAACAAGTATTTTTCACTCGGGACTAGTTAAGTTGAACAGCCACCTAAAGCACATTGCTACACTACTCCACAACTGAAAAATGGAGTATGCCTTGAATTTCAGTTTGACAGAAAGAACTTTTACAAATTGTCTTATTGGTACTAGGTTGCTGAAGATTGACCCCATGGGTGGAGTATATTAGCCACACTCCTAGTCTATTCATGATCTTACTGAAGATCATCCTATTTCATAGACTATGATTAACAATCGAGCTCATATAGATGTGTTCTTCCAAAGATTAGTGTAGGACAGTTTCTTGCTTATACAATCATCAGAATACATTAAGACAAAGTCAACCTACCATACAGGTTGTGAGAGTGGTGCATCTTCGACGGAGTGGGTAGTAAAGTTACTCTCTAGTTAATCTGTAGCTTGTTATTCGAGGTCCTACTTTACAGGATTTTCAATCAAATAGGTTGGATTACCATCATGGATGCTCATGTGGGTGTTATACCCATCTATCCCGCTACTTTATGTATCACAAATAGCCCTTCTATGAATGGATCTGCCAGTTTTTTAGCCAATTGGATGTAATCCAACGCTGTCACTTCGAAGTTTCTTAGATGTCTCACAAATTTCAGTCTTCTTCTTATATGATTTATGGATTACATGTTGTCCTTTGAGTTGGTTACTTTGACAGTGGTTGTCTGATTGTCACAGTTCATAAGGATAGATAGAATTGGCCTTTTAAGTTCATAAAAAATCTTGAAGCCATTCTGCTTTGGTATTAGACTAGAAGTGTTGGGTGCGCTTTGCAGTGCCGTTGGTGTTGTTGGGGTTCTTAAAAAATTCACCCTGTTTTAAAATATAAGGTATATTACTTTTTTGAAAAGTCAAACCTTTTACCTTTGATCAAATTTATAGAGAAATGTATCAAAATCTATAATATCAAATCGGTATTTTAAGATTCATCATGAAATGAATTTACGTACTTATTTAGTTTAATATTATGGATGTCGATATTTTGTCTCTGAACTTGGTCAGAGTTAAAGAAATTCGACTTCCTAAAAAACTAATACCACTTATATTTTGAAACTGATGGTGAAAGGATTGATATGGTTGACTAGAGGAGGGGGTGAATAGGCAACTATCAATTGCTTTTCTTAACAAATTAAGTTTAACAACAAATAGGTTGACTAGATGTGCAACTATGTGAACAACCTATAAGATGCAAACAACAACAACAACAAGTGCAAGCAAAGTACAACACAATAATAGCTTGCACCAAGTAAAGGGAAGAGATAACCACAAGTGGTGCCGGTGGAGACGAGAATGTGTTACCGAAGTTCCTTCCCTTTGGGGGAAGTACGTCTCCGTTGGAGCGGTGTGGAGGCACAATGCTCCCCAAGAAGCCACTAGGGCCACCGTATTCTCCTCACGCCCTCACACAATGCGAGATGTCATGATTCCACTAGTGGTGCCCTTGGAGGCGGCGACCGAACCTTTACAAACAAGGTTGGGGCAATCTCCACAACTTAATTGGAGGCTCCCAACGATACCACGGAGCTTCACCACAATGGAATATGGCTCCGAAGTGACCTCAACTGTCTAGGGTGCTCAAACACCCAAGAGTAACAAAATCTACACAAGAAAGTATGGGGAATCAAATATCCTTTGGTGGAAGTGTAGATCTAGGTCCCCTCCTTCAATCCCTAGCAAATCAACAAGTTTGAGTGGCTAGAGAGAGAGATCGGGCAAGAAAGCTTGAAGGGCATTAATGGTGGAGAGAGAGAGGCAAGAGGTAAGGGGGTAGGAGGAAGAAACCCCCTTTATATTGGAAACCCTAAAAACCAACCATAATAGCAGATTTTACACTGCAGCGGTACAACCGCTCCTCTCCCCGGTACAACCAGAAATCACAGGTAAGCTATTGGGGAATGTAGCATGCAATTTTAAAAAAATTCCTACAATCACACAAGATCTATCTAG